AAACCATGTACAACTTATGAAGTTGAAATTGTTGGCCTATCAAAGATCAAATGGTTGTGAATACTATTTTTCAACCGGTGATTAAGTTACAACTCTTATTATTTGACATTATTGTTGATCATGATTAAAACTGGATTGAATGTAGCGCTCCACATATCAGGTGAAACACGAATAATACATAATAATAATAAATAAATATGAAAAGTAGAAATTCAAAAGCATTGAAAATAATGACAGATAATATAAAGAAAAGTACAAACCAATTACTCTTACCGGCGATCAAGCGCTCAAAACTAGTATGAACTATTATAGACTACCGAGTAATTTAAAAATGTGATGGACAAATAACTAAAACTAGCAATAAAAAAAGGAAGAAGAAATTCTAAGAATGGGAATGAAACAGTTGTAATTCTCTCCAATCTTTTTTTCATAAACTATGTCTCTCCCTCATATCACGCTTTCCCCAAAAAATGATCTTTGGATAATTAGGCAACGGATAAATTGCAAGATTGGTCACTCGAATTACTAAAAAATCTCACGTTTGGCACTAAAATTAGTTTATTTCATTCATGGTCACTAAAATTAGTATAACAGTCCAAATTTGGCACTCTCCGTTAGTCTCCGTTAACTTTATCTGACGTGGGAGTCAACTCTGATAGTTAACCATTAAATAAGTGACGTGGCAAATAAAAATTAATTAAAAAATAAATATAATCTTTTTAATTTCCACCTCAATTTAAAAATAAATTAAAATAAAAATTAATAATAATTACCAAAATTAAAATGTAATCGTTGGAGAAATCTCCGACAATATTGGTAAAAAAAATTCAAAGGCAAGAGAAGAAATCGACAGAGTTCGCCCTCTGCAACTTCGAGCCTCCATCCCTCTCCACCCAGTCGCCGTCGTCTCTGTAGCATTATAATCCCCATATCGTAAGCTGCTTGCTGCTGTTGGAATACTGTCGTAGTGCCGTTGCGACCATCATTACCGGTCACCACCAGCAGTACACCATCCACTGTTTGTTATATCTTCCTCTCTCTTCCTATTCTCATTTCCCATATTCCTCAGAAGAACCCTTCCCTGTTTCCCCTTTCATCTTCTCCAAAAATAAATCATCAACATCTCCCTCCCCAAAAATTCACTTCCTTTCTTTCACTACCGTGTTGGGTAAATTACAAATCACTAGATTTATTAAAAAGGTTCATGTTTGGTCACTAAAAATATTTAATTCCATTCATGGTCACTAAAATTAGTTCAATAATTCATGTTTGGTCACTCTCCGTCCAACTCTGTTAACTTTCTCTGATGTGGCAGTCAACTCTCATAATTGACCGTTAAATATGCAACGTGGCAATCTAAAAAATAATAAAAAATAAAATTTAATTTTTAAATTTCCACGTCACTATTAAAAAATAAAAATATGTAACCTAATTTCTTCTAATAGTATAAACTACTCAAATTCAATTCCTACCCAACCCTAATATTTTCTAATCCCCTGCCATGGGATTGCATCATTATCGGCAACTTCCCCAAATTGTCATTCACCGGCCTGTGCCCCTGCTGCCCTGTACCATCCCCACCGACGTCGGACTTCAACTGCAATGCATCGGCACCGGGCTTAGTGCTTGTCTCTTCTGGTGGAACCATTAGAAAGCTGCAGCAAACACAATGAAAGAGACTTTGATAATCATATAACCCAAATCAACTCTGGTGGGATCCTTATTGGAATCAGCTAGGCTAGTGAAAGGCTCATCTAACGAAGATGAAGCCACCAGAACCGAAAGTACCCAATTAGCTCCGGCAACAGAGTTCTCAATTAATCAAACACTTCCTTCTGCCCGCTATCCTAGCTCCTTGCATCCCAGCTAACTCGTCGTCTCCACCGTCGATGTTCCGGCAAAGACAACATCGTCCCTGGATTTTGGATTTCCCCGCGGACAGATCCCTTGCCACCTCGACAGATCCGCTACCCCCGCAGCCAACTGTTTTGGTCTCCCTTACTCGGTAGACCGATACCCGCCTTGATCTGTTTCAATTTCTTTCTCCATCTAATTAGTTCATATTACAGGGATGGCAATTTACCCACCCATGGGTAATTTTGCCCAAACCCAAGTAGACCCATTTATTGTGGGTAGGGTTTGGGTGATGTGTGTATGGGTTTGGGGTTTGTATATGGGTTTGGGTTAGATATGGATATTATCTAAATGGGTGTGGGTTGGATATGGATACCCATTTACTTGAGGGTGTTTTAACTACACATGCAAAAATTGGACTTATTTGTAAAACTTGAAAAATTTAGGTACCAAAATGTAAGGCCAAAAAAATTTAGTTACCAAAACGTAATTTTCCATCGATATTTTGAGGACTTATATGCAAAAAAATTAAATTTAGGTATTAAATATGCATATATATTAAATTTAGGTACCAAACTGTAATTTGTATTTGGGCATGGGTACAAACCCAAATCCATTTGTTATAAACCCAACCCAACCCAAAGTAAATGGGTATGGGTACAAACCCATCAAACTTTACCCATATCCATATATTTGGATTTCATACCCAACCCAATTGGGTTGGATAGTAAAATACCCATGGGTATGGGTAAAATTGTCATCCCTAAGTTCAGATTTGATTCTTGGCGGCGGCGGCAGGTAGCGGAGCATTGCGGCCAAGTCCCAACTCCGCCGTGTCATCCCGCACCCAAAGATCCACTACCTCCACACTCCGACTCCGTTGTCTCTCCCGGACGACGACCTCGTTTCCCTAGTCGGCGGCGGCGACGAGAACTCCCGATGTTATATTCCGTCGTGGGGCGGCTATTGAGGAATCCCGGCAGGTTCGTCGCTATGTGGTGATACAACCACATCGTGGTGTGCCCGGAGTTCGATATTAGGTTTAGGTAGGAATTAGGAATTAGGGTTATGGATTCGACAAAAAAAAAGGATCGAGTAGGGTGGTTTAGGATTAGGGGAGTAGAAGAAATTAGTTTTATTTATTTTTGGTGAAATGAGGTGGAAATGTAAATTATTAAATATTAATATTTTTTAAATTGCTACGTCGTATATTTAACGGTCAATTATTAGAGTTGACTGCTACATCAGATAGAGTTAACGGAGTTGGACGGAGAGTGACCAAACATGAACTGTTGAACTAATTTTAATGATCACGAATGAAATTAAATATTTTTAGTGACTAAACATGAACTTTTAAGTAAATTCAGTGACCAACTTTGCAATTTACCCTTCCGTGTTGGAATTTTCCTCACTTTCCTCCCCTACCGATTTCGTTCTCAACTGGCCACCATCAGTCCCCAAATTTCACCTTCTCCTCCAACAAACCCTACTCCGACACTAGTAGATTTCAATTGCACAGAACACTGTTCTTCTCCTCGTCTCAACGACGGTGGATGACGGGTCCATAGCAAAGCACTTACTATTTTTATTTATTTTGTAATTTATTGTGATGAAGTGGAAAAAATTAATATTTTTTAATATTTTTTAATTGTCACATCACTTATTTAACGGTCAACTTTTGGAGTTGATTGCCACATCAGATAAAGTCAACGGAGAGTGATGGAGAGTGATGGAGAGTGACCAAACTTGAACTGTTACACTAATTTAAGTGACTACGGATGAAATAAATTAATTTTGGTGGCAAACATGAACTTTTTAAGTAATTCTAGTGACCAAACTCAACCAAAACAAAATCCGCCTCCTTAAAAGTTAACTGAATTGCTATTCGTCGCCCTAAAATTCAAATTTTATCGCCCTAAAACGCACTAACTAGACATATTTACCCCTCGACAAAAAGTCAAATTTTATTATTCCTAAACTAAACAATTGCGAGAAAAAACTTCTTTCAATTCTTCCTCAACTTTACGCAGTTGCCAAGACAGAAGAGTTGTAATTTTATACGCTACGGCCAAAACTCTCTTCTTCTCCAACTCCTCTGGCCGCTGCAGTTATGTCCCAATAATTCCCACCTTTATTATAATTGTGATCCAATGCTTCCGTGTCCCCAGCGCCTCATTCGTAACTGGTAACCGACCCAGAGGAGATCCTCAAGGTCTCAATCCAAGTCTCCCTGAAGAGGTTCGCTAACCTAGCTTCCCTGTTCGGGAATTCGTCGAGCGGCGAGTGGAGATCGAGGGTCGCGTTGGATGACTGCATGGATCAGTTGGGGGAGGGGGTCAGTAACCTGAACCAGTCCTTGGCGGCTATTCACGTTGGCGCTAGTACGGAGGGGAAGATGCTGACGCCGGCGAAGATCGACGACCTGAAGACGTGGATGAAGTGGAGACAGCTTCCGATCTCCCGCCTACCTGCAAGAAATTCCTCTATCCAAGTCGTCGCTTGTTCGATTGAGAACCCACAAACCCATATTTGATTAATACCATTCCCTGTCCCAAATTGAAGCTGCTGGGCAATCCCCTCCCTCGGCAGGAAATTGAAGAGGGGAGAAAATTAATTTTGCTGGGCATTCCCCTCCATCGACATGAAATTGAAGAGGGGAGGAAATTGTTGCTCTGGCCCGTTTCCTTTCCCGGCGGTGAGGTTGGAAGAAACAGGGGGGCACGAAGTGGTGGTTGTCTGAGTCTCTCTCCCAAAAACAAACGCTTCTTCTTAAGAAAAATAAAAGAGAAGGAAGCAGAGTAGCCGTGATATCTTTTTCATGAATGTCTGTGAAGTGTGTTCTTATGGTCATTGTAATTGTGGACTCTGTTGCAATAGTATAATGGATCATTTGATTAATTTTTTAAGCGGCCGACCATTTTCGCCAAATTACGGTGATTAGGAATTCTTCAGATTGATAAGGTCGTATTATTTGATATCGCGATTAAACTGAGTAATTCAATCCGCTAATATGTCATAAACAATATCTCCTACATAGATAAGTACCAAGAAGATGAAATAATGTAGCTAAAGAACTGAAAAGATGACCAATGTAGCTAAATAATCTCTACTACATAGATAAGTACCGAAAAGCTAAAATAATGTAACTACTCATGTACTACATGCTTCGGCTCACCCCTTGTCTTGTCTACTTTGCTGATGTCCACCGAGAACGAAAAACAACCTTCTTTCCTCTTGGTACAACAATGACCAAGAACCAACAGTTGCCATATCGCGAAGATGAGACCACTGAAAACTAAATGGAGGCATGGTGTAACACCTCCGACGTCTACAAGATGAAGTCGGACCCAATGTACTCTAGTATGAACGAGGGCATAAACATGAACTGGAGATGTTATCCCTGGTGGCGCTGTCACGGGTAATGCACTATACCCATATGTCCCATCAATTGCCCACCCGAAGACTGAAAAGGCACAATTGTGCATTGTCGCGAATGCTAGTAGATCCACCTCCTTAAACCAGTACTTGTTGCCACACCATCCCGAATTCCTTTGATCCAACCTATGAATTACTTGCTCTAGTGTCCCATCGTAATGTCTACTATATATAGAATCCCATCGACTAGTAATCTCTCCAATAACAGCTTGCCTCATCTCTAAGTAGTAACCCTTGTCACCATGAATAATGTGTGAGATTGCTCGAAACCCACAATGACCATCCCCATCGGGGTTAAACCAAGCTCTAACAAGATGGTGTATGCTAGATGGGATGTATGGGAGGTATGGACACATATCCCTCTCACTATGGAATTCCCACAATTGACTCTTTCATGCACAACCTAATGAAATCAAGCAAGTGAAACAATATGGAAACTCTTATAAAAAAAACGAAGATATCAACACACAAAAAATAATAGTACAATCAAAATCATATTTATGACTAACCTGTATGTGTTGACCTCATAGGGGGAGTGCGATCTGACATCAGGGGAGTAGGATCCCTCATCGGGGGAGTGAGATCCCTCGTCGGAGGGCTTGTCCTGCTGGTATTACTTCTGCGTGCCTCTCGTGATCTCTCCTGCTCAAACCAAGAACGTTTTCGGGCGTTCTCCCTCCTAGGTGGTCGACCCCTCGGAATCTCTGCCTCCCTAGGCTCAAGAAGACCCATGTCCTCGAGGAGAACATGAACTCGAACTGATGGAATAGCTACTCGAATATAATTTTGTCCTCTACAACGTACCTCCTCCACTATTTTGTCGAAAATATCGCTCTCAATAGCATCATGGTCCTCCCACTGTGCACGATCAGGTGGATCATGGTAATTTAAAGAAGATCAGAAATGATGTAAGTGGTGTGGATACAACTCTAACCCTTTCTCACTGAACCTCTGCATTGTGCATAGACATGGAAGTCCATATGTCTCTGGTAGCACGCAACCGTACCTCTCAACATTCTTCCTACTTCCTTCTCCCCTCAATAACTCAATCGCCCATGAACTAACCTTGTTGTTCAAGTGCACAAAAGGCGGTCCATATGCCCATGTAAATACCTATTTAAATGAACACATAATCTAAATAAGAGAAAGCATATGAAAATTATTATCACAATTCAATCAAAATGAATTTACCTTCAATCGTGATTCCTCTAGGTCCTTTCGCAATTCAATCACTCTACCTTCCACACAAGCATGGAATCTCATGAAGAGTGAATCAATCTTGTGCCTAGAAGTGTTAAGCCATGACTTCAAAGAGGAGTGAGCTGATTCCACCCTATTTTTGCTCGTGTTGCCAATATGAAACACACGGTTGGTGTAGCAATTAGCTCATTTTCTCGCACAAGATAGCCACTCGCCTCTCAAGTAGTTAATCAATCGTCCATTGTCCCCCCAACGACTATTTTGTAAGTCCACCCAAGCACTATCAAATCCTTCTTGGGTATTGGCATACAATAATGTTCCCCAAGGACCTCCAACAAAACCCTCTGCGACTTCTCTACTCATTCGAAAGCTCATGAGTTTGGCTTCAATGTTCTTCTTCATATGCCATACACATAATAAGTTAGTAGATTCTGGAAAGATCTCGCGCACTGCAACACCTAATACTCCCTCCTTATCTGTGACAATAGCATTTGGGACCCTACCACCAAACACACTCTTTAGCTGCGACAAAACCCAAGTATATGTCTCTTTTTTTTTCATCTGCCACAGATGCAAACCCAATGTTAAAGTTCTTCTGCACCGGAGTAACACTAACCAACTGAACCAATGGCTTCTTATGCTTGTTGGTTTTGTATGTCGAGTCTATCAGAACAACGAAATACCAAGCACTCAACATCTCAAGAGACTCCGGGTGGCAAAGGAAGAGATTAGTAACATGGTGATCAATATCAAATTCACACTCAATGAAATACCCGAGCTTTTGAGCTTCCCCCAATGTCCACTGCATGGGTTTCATGCCACCCAATCTCTGTAGCCGAATCTTGCCGATTTCATTGTAAATTTGTTTCATGTTGTGGTGAGCATCATACGTGTCATTCAGAGACTTCTTCATTTGTTTCGGCTGAGTCATCGTTGCCTCCATTTTCTTGATGTCTTCCTTCTTCTCCTTTGTGAGATTATTTCTTTGGCTACTCCCTTCAAAATAAAGCTCAAATTTATGATTATGAAACCCCCTCACACCATCAATTCTCCATTTCAAAGAACCATCCACCAATATTGCCCGTACTACCACTCTGAATCTGCAACCCAACTTGCCTGCCTTCGTATTATTCCGCCTTGGCTTATCAGGATCTGGGATATATGTTATGCTCCTACAACCATGGTTGCAATCCATATATATCCGCGGATTCGTTTCTCCCGGATTTCGTTTGGTTGTAGACACTATCAAGAAAAAGCCGAGAGATTTTGCTATCTCCTTTGCTGCTTCCCGAGCTTTGTCCTTAGTATCATAAAAACCTGCACTCATGAAGAATTGAGTGTAATCAACTTTGTCACCTTCGTCATCTCGAGAACCACCCTACAAAAAACATACAAAATTTTTGAAACCAATCCACCATTAGTCAATACAATTTATTTATTTATATAAACTATATTTAAATAAGTACTTACCGTATTACTCATACCAAACTCCTTATTATATCAATGGTATTGTAATTTGTGTAGCCGACTTCAACAAAGTTGTCTCCCTAATAAAGAATAATATTAGTACAAATTAGAGATAATTTAATCCAAAAATTATATAAATTATGTCCGGATGTGACGCTATAAAATCTATATGCAGATTATCAACTAAGTAATAAAAGTAAGTAATATTATCATCCCACAAGGATTGATACAACTTGAAATTTAATGATTATATCAAGGAATTGAAAGAACAAAAGTGTTTTTGTAGTAAACTAAAGACAATGTAATAACTAAACTAGAAAACAAGTAGGAAATTAACTTGGAGAAAAATCAACGGAGAGAAGCTCTCGGAAAAGAAGGTCTGAAATTCACGACCTAATTACCTTATTCAATTCGTTTAAATCGTAGAAATTCGATAGCCACATCCTACAGTCTTCCCCCATAAATTAAGATTTAGTTCATAATCATGGAAAACAAACTAACAATTAATTCTAAGTTCAACATCTTAAAATTCAAGAAATAGAGAAAAATTTACGAATGAAGTAACCCGTTTACTAATTACCTTAACTCCTGCTGATTGCCTGGAAATTCCAAAACCTCCGTCCACGAAAGAAGAGTTTTATACGCCAAAAACTCTCTTCTTCTCCAACTTCTCTGGCGGTTGGAGTTATGTTCAAATAATTCCCCAGTTATGTCCCATGAAAAGCAACCTTTATTTATAATTGTGATCTAATGCTTCCATGTCCCAGCTGAAAAGGACTCTGCCGGCCGAATGTTCTGCTAGCCGCTGCAGTTATTATTATTTTTTATTTATTTTCGGTTATAATTTGTTTTGAGGTAAGTATTAAATTTTTTTTTTTTGCCAAAAGATCACTTGCATTAACAAGAAAGAGCAGATAACCACGTTCACACAACCAAATTTACAACCTCGAATGAAACCAACCAAGAAAATCAAACCCCGGAACTCCCGCAGGAAACAAAGAAAGAGCTTTCTTAGCCACCAAATGGGCCGCCCAATTGTTTTGCCTACCAATGAATTCCACCGAGAAATGAACAAAATGCTGACGAAGCCAATCAATCTCCTCAAGAATAGTACCACCACTGACATCCCAGGTATCTTTCCCTCTTACCTTGTCAAGAACTACCTTTGCATCTCCTTGGAATACTACGTCGTTGAGACCCTTCAAAGAGCACCAACGAATAGCATCCCGCAGCGCCAATAGCTCCGCAAGGAAAGGATCATCCACACCTGCAAAAAGAAACCCATGCACAAACACCACACACCCTCGACCATCCCGCACTACCAAACCCCCCGCCGAGTGAGACCCCTTTTCTACTACCCCATCTACCGAGCAAATAAAAGACGCGGCTGATTCCCCCAGCCCTCCTTGAGCCGCAGCAACCGGAGCTAAAACCGGCGGAGCAGGCGCAGCCTGTTGAGGGAGATCAAGCCACTCACGAACCTGCTCATGGTATTGTCGGAGTAAGACTGGAGTCCGATACTGTATATGATCATGGTAAGCCCAATTTCGCCCTTTCCAAATCCGCCAAAGCAGTGCAACCAGCCTCATGACCCTTTCCGCAGACGAATCTCGCTCGAGGACACGACGGAAGAACAAAGCAAAGTTCAAATTCTCCAATCCCCGTCTAACCTCACCTAGGCCACTCCCATCCCACAACTCGACTGCCACCCTACAAGAAAGAAATAAATGCTCGAGGGATTCTAACGGAGCACAACAAACCGGGCAAGCCTTGGGACATTCCGCACCCTTCTCCCAACACGCTTCAGCAGTCGGAAGTACCCGGCGAAGCAATTGCCAGAGAAAAAACTTCAGTTTTGGAGGTATAGGGAACCCCCAAACCTTCTTCCACAAAGCCGAATCAATGAAGGGCACTTCAGCCTTCCAACCACCTTCCTGGCGTCTCTCTTGAAGGACCACATGATACCCAGACCTCACCGAGAACCTACCATCTTTTTCCGCCGTCCAAACCAGCCGATCCATAACGGGTATCCGAGGTAAAGGGATCGCCAAAATGCGCCGGCACAAATCCGGATGAAATCTTTCCTCAAGACACGCTTTACACCAATCCCCTGTCCCTTCATCAATCAACGACCGAACAGTAAAACCCGTCATATCCGGCGCTTGCGCTAGCACTAACCTGGAGATATCCGCCACTCCGGGAACCCAACTGTCCCCTAAAATGCGAACAGACGCACCATTACCAATCTGCCACCTCAACCCTTTCAATAACAAATCTCGCCCATGAAGAACACTCTTCCAACCCCAAGAAGGACAAGATCTAGTCGTAGCCGTAAGAAGCGAGCAATTTGGAAAATACTTCCCTTTTAGAACTCGAGTTAACAGAGATTGTGGCTCATTTAGTAGCCTCCAAGCTACCTTGGCAAGCAATGCCTGGTTGAAATCCTCAAACCTCCTAAACCCAAGTCCCCCATCTAATTTACTACGACAAAGATTTCTCCACGACACCCAGCGAGCTTTATCCCCCTCAGGCGTGAACCCCCACCAGAACCTAGCCATATGCTTGTCCATCTTCCGGCATAACGTCCGAGGCAATAAGAAACAAGACATAACGTAGACAGGTAAAGCAGATGCCACTGCCTTCAGCAGAGTTTCTTTCGCTGCTCGGGAAAGATGTCGTTGCTTCCATCCTTGAATTGTACTGAGGAGCTTCTCTTCTAAATACCGGAAAGTTTCCGTTTTTGAACGATGAATGAGAGTAGGTAAACCTAAATATTTGTCCTTCACACCAACAGCACCTACCCCCAAGAGCCCTGCCATGGCATCACAGTCGCCTGAATCAACATTTCTGCTAAAACAGACAGCCGATTTTGCTAAATTGACTTTTTGCCCACTTAGGAGCTGGTACTCTTGGAGAACATGCAACAGTACATTACACTCCTCAACCGAAGCTTTCAAAAACAAGTATGAATCATCTGCAAAGAATAGATGGGAAACACTCGGACTCCTGGGACTCACTTTAACTCCTTTAAGGCGACCTGCCGATAGTTGCTGCCGTAGCAAAGCCGCAAAACCCTCAGTACAAATCGCAAAAAGGAGAGGCGACAAGGGATCACCTTGCCGAAGTCCTCTCTGTGATCGGAAATAACCTGAGGGATTGCCATTCATCAGCACTGAAAAAGAAGCAGAAGACACACACTCTCTTATCCAACCAATCCATTGTTCACTGAATCCCATTTTTGCCATCAAAGCAAACAAAAAAGGCCACTCAACTCGATCATAGGCCTTTTCCATATCAACCTTCAAAGCCATGTAACCTTTTTTCCCTTGCTTCTTTAGCTTGAGATACTGCATAATCTCATGTCCTATTAATACATTATCCACTATTTGACGGTCTCTGACAAATCCATTTTGCTCTGGAGAGATAAGTACGGGCAAATGGATGGCCATTCTTTCTGCCATAATTTTGGAAATGATCTTATAGAATACCTGACATAGACTAATAGGACGAATTTGGGTCATTGATTCCACTGCATCCACCTTAGGGAGTAAAGTCAACCACGTATGATTGAAACTTTTCAACATTCTGCCCGACGAAAAAAAAAACTGAACAGCCTCAACCACAGACTGTCCCACAATATCCCAGTAAGCTCTGTAAAACTTTCCGGTGAACCCATCAGACCCCGGAGCTTGGGTGGGTCCAATGGAGAATACTGCTCTCCTAATCTCCTCTGGGAGCACTGCAGCCGTGAGCTTACTGTTGATATCCATCGAGACAACATTTTCCATTGGCAACACAGCTACTCTTTCCATCATGTTATTAACAACATTCTCTGATCTGAACAAAGTCTCATAAAAATCAACCGCCACATTAGCTTTGGCAGGCTCATCAGTAACCCACTCACCTTGAGCATTCCGCAGACCTTCAATATGATTTCGCCGTCTCCGGGCCCTCGTTACCGTATGAAAATATGAAGAATTCTGATCCCCCTTTTTCAACCATCTCACACGGGATTTCTACCTCCAGTATACTTCCTCCGCAGCCCATTGCCGAGTCAACTCTGCTTCCAATTCACTCACTCGGTCCCAATCCACCGGCCCAAGCTCCTTCAAGGCTTCAATCTCAGTTTGCAGAATTTTAATGGCTCGCAAAGAATTAGTCATGCCTTTTCTCGACCAGTCATACAACCCATGTCGCAACTTCTTTAGCCTGGTCCACAGTACGAACATAGGCGTACCACTAATTTGCTCATCCCAAATTGATTGGACCAACTGTCGCACCTCAGGATTTTCCACCCACCGGGCGTCAAACCTGAACAGAGGCCGAGAAATTCGGACAAAAGGTTTATCCGCAACCAAAAGAGCACGATGATCGGACCCCAAATCCGTACAATGCTTAACCAACGTTGCTGGAAATTTTTCCATCCACCCCGGCGACACCAGCGCCCTATCTAACCTTTCTCTAATATTGGCAGCCCCCATCCGCCTATTCGTCCAAGTAAAGGCCGGACCGGAGAAACCAGCATCCTGTAAACCAAAGCGGTCCATAAATTGCCTAATAGCGACACTGGAATCAACATTCCAAGGAGATCCGCCCTCCTTCTCATTACTACTCAACACACAGTTCATATCTCCCACAATCAAGAAAGGCACCCCAATATTTTGAAGGCAATCCTGTAATTGCACAGCCTGCTGCATGCGGATATGTGCATGACAAGAAAAATAAACTCCCACCATCACATACTCCAAACAACCATCACTTTTATTATTAATACCAACAGCAACAAAAAAAGAAGAATGATGCAACACTGTAACATCCAACTCCTCATCCCAACCCATGGCTAAACCGCCAGACCCCTGAACAGCATCAACAAGAAAGAAAGAATGCAAACCCAACCCACGCAAACGACGCTTAACTACTCGCCTACACGATCTAGTCTCCGACAAAAAAACTAAATCAGGCTTATTCGACCTACAGAGCCCTAACAAAGACTGAAATGTGAGGGAAGGCCCTATACCCCTCACATTCCAAGATAACATCTTCATTTATCCTCTTGGGCCCACTTACGGCTGGCCACCTCCACCGGTTTCACTGTTGGATTCTCCTGATCCTTGCTATCAGTACATATTTTCTTCAGTGGTGTCGGATCCAGAGTTAGACCCTCCACCATGTCAGCCGATCTCTTGCAGGCCATGTCACTATCCTCAGGGGCAGCCATCCTGAACGCCTCTTTATACCGCGGAATTGTTCCACCCGCCTCCTGCTGGAAAGGGACATCAGCCCGCACATCTCCCAGCCCAGCACCTTGCTTAGTATGATCACCGCCAGCCGGTTTAAAAGCAGCTCGAAACACTCTCCTGCCTTGTTCCTGCACAAAATGACCAGCAGACTGTTTACCTGCTCCTTTGTTCCACCCATGCTGGAAATTCTGGCCACGGGGTATATACCCCCTTCCTCTGCCGCGTTCATACCCCCCACCTCCTCTTCCGCGAGAGTCCTCATCCTCCATAGCACTATAGGACCCTCTGCCATACTGGATACCACGACCAGCACCCCTCCCTTTCGGCTTATAGCCTCCCCCCGCTAGATTGGGAATTCTTGAGTCAGCTTGTTGCTGCAAGTTGGTACTCTGCTCCTGCCCAGTCTCTTTCATCTCAACATCCTCCGCCCCATCTTGCGGCATCTGGTTCGAGCTTCCCCCCGATGGCCTAGCTCCCTTAGTTTCTGGATTCACCCAAACAGATTGTTTTACTGGCATCCCTATCCGAATCGGCAGGAACGTCTCCTCATCTAGCCTGTGCCCGACAATGTCTGTCGACAACTCTGGTCCATAATGCTCCACACCCTCCGGATCTGGGTACTTACAATTAGCAGCAGTGTGACCAAATCTTCCACAATGATAACAGAATAGAGGCAGGAACTCATAAATCAAAGTTACCCAGAATTCACCTATCGCCTCATTACTGGCAAAGACCTGAGAGCGAAGGGGCTGGAACACATTCAGGTTAACTCTTGTTTTGATAAAATGACCAGGCATCCCTGCAACAGCAAACACTCCAGCATCCAGCACCTCCCCAATTTTAGAACTCGCCATCCTTCTGCCGAAAGCAACGGTACGGCAGTGCGGAGGAATGCCCCACATTTGCACCCAAAACGGTACCTGTGCAAATGAATCAACCAGCTCCGTTGTGATCGGAGCCCAAGGTTTTAGGTGAAGAATCCTATCTTTCACTGGCCACGGGGATCTCTCCAGCACCCAATCTCTATCAGCTTCATTCATGAAAAAGAACTGCAGCAAGCCCATCTCTCCCTCCAGCACCGTGACTTTGCAATTCCATGCCCCAAACACAATTTTGTGAATGACCGAAAGGCTGGGACGATTCTCCATAAACAATCTCCCTAAGAGACTGCACTCAGCCCATTGCATACCAGTAGCAACATCCTCCATAGTAAATTCCACCACTTGATCAGCTGGGCACACCCTCGTCACTTCCTCAGTTTTTGACATGTTCACTGCTTCCTCAGTCATTGGCATGTTCAGCCCTTCATCAGCCTTCGACATGTTCATTTGTGACTCCATGTTCTGGGCATGACAATACAAAATCCAAATCAAAGCTCCTATAGAGCTAACAACCAAATACACCGACAATCGGAACATGTATATCAGAACAATCCAGAGACAAGTAACCGTACCTATTTCCAGCAATTTCCGAGGCCAAATCCCGCCCTGAAAGCGACGACAATCACTCCCTTTTCTCTCGAAAGAAATCTGAGGACACTTTCGCAGTTGTGAACGTCCTTGATTTCGAAATCGGCGCTGCGTAGTTATATAGCTCCACTTCTCCGCCAGACGAAGAACCGTGCTACGCACAGACTCCGTCGAGTCTATCCCACTATTTTCCCGAATTTGCATGTACCCCAATAGATAATGATTATTCCATGGGATCTTTATCTTCCATTCCTCATTGAACCGCATCCACAACGGGATCGGATCTGTTTCACCCAAACTAGGTTTCCGATCTGTTTCTCCCAAACTAGGGTAAACTCCTCTATCGCGGAGCAAAACACGACTCCATCCCTCCAATATCGCATAATAAAGCGATTTCCTATCCTCCGGCTGCCTAATCGGCACCGTAATATGCCTGGGTTCTGCCATAGAAACCCTAATCGAGGCAAACTGCTTGAGTTTCGCGAAGAAGGAGACGAAAAGAAAGAAGAGAGAGGCGAGAGCATCTCTGAACATTTTTTTTTTGTCTAAATAATTTTCTCAAAAATTTGGACCATTTCTCGATTTATGCGTAGGTAAGTATTAAATTAAACTAAGGACATTATAATAAAATTAATTTAATTAGAACGATAAATAAAGATTTTTATAGCGACAAATAACAATCCCCAAAGTTAAACTTAAACCCACGACACCAAAACAAATATATAAATAAAAGCCCATCCGCCCTTCTTGTCCCGACCCGACCTGCTTCCCTCACTCACTCTCTCGGTCTCTCCCCTCGCTGCTGGCCTTTTCCTCGTGTACGCACTACGCAGCCAGACTGTGTGTTTAGTGTTTACGCTACTGGCACTTTGCATCTCTTCCGCCCTCCCTTCGCTTCCCCTTCGATCTTCTTTCCCTTACAGCAATGGCCGCTTCTTGCTGAATTCTTTTCTTCCATTCTTTCCTGGGAAACGAATATTCTTCTTTTCTTTTCATCTTTGGGGGGGATTGGGCTCCCTTTTTCTCCTCCAAAAATGATGGCGCAGGCGAAGCGGCGGTGTAGGGCGGTGCCGGTGATGAGGAAGATGATAACATGCGCTATATGTGCATTCGCCATGGTGGCCGTGCTCTCCGTACACGTCCATGTTCAAGTCTTCCCTTCCAGAGTTCCCGTCTTGCCTGATCCTTACAAGCTCCCCACTACAACCACTCAGGTCCGTCGTCTACTCGTCTGTTGATTTCCCCCTCCTTCATTTCTTGGGTTTTGCTTTTCCTGCTTCCGTTAGGGTTTATTTTATTGCTTTATTTTCTTTCGTTTGCTTTTTGCTATGGACAAGCTATGTGATCCTTTTCTCTGTTTGATGGGTTTGATTCAGTATGGGCGATAGATTTCTGTAAGTTTTCAGCTTTCTTTTCTGGGTACTTTTAAAATGTTTGCCGGAATTTGATTGATTTCTTAGATTCTCTCTTTCTTTCCTGTTTCTCCTCCCCATTTGCTTTAGTTTTGCTTAGTAAATTCTGGCACAAGAAAGGAATGGGTAACGTTATTAAGTTAGATTTGCTTTCGCTTCTGTTTTAGCAAATTTGGGCTGTTTTTAGTCTCCCACACTCTCCATTCACTTCTCGTGTTGGTGTTGGTATGGCTGTTTCGGTTTCATCGCACTTTACTTTGGTAGTTGGCTGACAAATCAGTTCCATTGTTCTGTCCCTTTTCCCTTCATTGGGGTTGTTTTAATGAATCATTTTCTTTTCCTTTATTATACAAACTGAATTTTTTTTTTGCAGAAGGGGATGACTGAACAGCAGCAAAGCTGGAGTAGAGAGGTTGTTCCACCCCATTCCAAGGCACCAATTGCTCCTCACCAGGTCTGATGTCTAAACCTGTAAGCTTGTTGTGTTAGACAGACTAGGACAAAAGGGTAAAATATGAAAGAGAATTTATGGAATAACGTAGAGGCTTTTTCCCAATCATTAATCATCCTGAGTTGGGATCGGTGTGGTTATGTTTTTGGAGAACTGGTGGGTTGAAGTAACTATGATGATTAGATGACGATGATGAGAAGAGTAGTAGGTGTACATGCTCATACAAACCAGTCATGCTTCTTTCATGTTTTCACTTCCATTAGATTTGACAGTTGGAAAGTGTTAATGCTGTACCCGCTCTCAAGCTATGGAAGCCTCCGTCGAACCGTGATTATTCTCCCTGTGTGGATCCTAGTTCTAACTATACAGGCAAGCATACGCCTTTATTTTTTGGTTGTTATTTGAGCTTGTATGTCTTTCTTCTTTATCCTTTGTGCTAATTTTTCTTCTTCTTCCGAATCCTCAGCTCCTGGAGAGTCGAGTGGTTACCTATTAGTTCATACTAATGGTGGGCTCAACCAGATGAGAGCCGGGGTGTGTATTCAATCTTTCTTTCTGCTTCTCGAAAGCTTCCTCTTTTGGAATTTGATCTCTCTATTTGATACATGAAGGCAGTTCTTGATGGTTGAGGTAGACTTAATGTTAATGTGATGTTTGAATTATTGCTTTTCTGTCTAGACTGTGCTCTCGGACTCCCATTTTTGTCTCCAGATATAGGTGGCCTCTTAGAAGCCAAACTATTTGGGAATCACTAGGTCTCAAGTTTGCAGTATTATCTTATTTTGGTTACACACTTGTTTTGTTCGAATGGCACGCCAATGTTGTCGTTTATATTAGTTGGTTCGTCTCAAAATTATTTCTTTAATGTTCTAATGATCATAAACACTGGTAACCTGACAGCTTTATCTAGGCTTCGCTTCCACAAAGTTCAGGGTCTTAATTTGTGCTGTCAGCTGCTACGACCCAGCAGAATCACATTGCATATTTAGCCTTTATTCTGTAGCCTTACAGGAGACTGATGGTTTTTCATCGAATTTTTTGTTCACAAAAAAAAAAAAATAATAATAATAATAGTAATAATAATAATTAAATTTTATTTTTGAGAGCAACCTACGATTCCTTTAGTTTCAAGTTAATCTAATGAAGGGTCGTGATCCTACTGTAGATATGTGATATGGTTGCTGTTGCTCGTATCATTCATGCCACTCTTGTGGTTCCGGAGCTGGATAAAAATTCTTTTTGGCAAGACACTAGGTAACAGATTATTCTTTCAAGCCTTCGCTTGTTTTTTATTTATTTATTTATTTTCCTTCTCTTGTGGCTTTTGGTCACTGCAACATCATAATTCCGTTTTCCATTGCAGCATCTTTTCAGATGTTTTTGACGAGGACTATTTCATCAGTTCTCTGGCTAGTGATGTAAAAATTGTGAGAAAACTTCCCAAGGACATGTCAGGCGTCACTAAAGCAGTTAAGCATTTCAGAAGCTGGTCTGGGATGGATTACTACAAGGAAGAAATCTCTAGCCTTTGGGAAGATTATAAGGTCTGTAATTTGCATCTCTTGTGTACTACTCGTCTTCTGAAGCTTGTTAAAAAGAGCAGCACTTGTAGTTACCTGATAGTTTTATCACTCAATTGTTTTCATAGGTTATTCGAGCTGCTAAATCAGATTCCCGCTTAGCAAATAATAATCTTCCTCCAGATATCCAGAAGCTACGTTGCCGTGCATGTTATGAAGCTCTGCGTTTTTCACCTCAAATTGAAGCCATGGGAAAAGTAGGAATATTTACTGTATCTATTTGCAATTCCTGGTGTATTTGCTATTTGTCCACCAACTACCAATGGCATAGTTGAGAATAATAATACCTGTTTATTTATATAATGTAGTTATTGGTGGATCGAATGAGAGCTTATGGTCCTTACATTGCCTTACATTTGCGATATGAGAAAGACATGCTTGCATTCAGTGGGTGCACACATGGTTTATCTGTTGCCGAAGCAGATGAACTGAAGAAGATCAGGTAAGAAGTTGCAACGCTATTGTTGCATGTTCATAAAATTATTTATTCTGTTTCTAGTTCAATGAACTTTTAAGTTTCCAACTTCTTTGCAGAGACGACACCTCATACTGGAAAATCAAAGATATTGATTCTGAGGAGCAGCGATCCAAAGGCTATTGCCCCTTAACTCCAACAGAGGTTGCTATGCTTCTTACAGCTCTTGGGTACCCGTCAAACACACCCATATATATAGCTGCTGGGGAGATCTATGGTGGTGATGCTCATATGGGTGAACTCCTGACCCGCTATCCTTTACTAATGAGCAAGGTACATGACTGCATGGGTGATTTGGTAAAAGCTCCCATGTCAAAATGTATAGGGTGGTCCAGATTACACAAGTTGGCTATTCTATGGCATACTTGTTGAATTTATTTTATGATCATTTTGCAGGAAAAATTGGCGTCAGTTGAAGAGCTTGAACGGTTTCTCAAACACGCCTCTCAAATGGCTGCTCTCGACTATATTGTGTCTGTGGCGAGTGCTGTCTTCATCCCAACATACTCTGGTAACATGGCAAGGGCGGTTGAAGGTCATCGTCGTTATCTAGGACATCAAAAAACTGTCACACCAGATAGGTACACGAATTTTTTTATCTTCCTTCCTCTAAAATGTGGGCAGTTTTTTTAAATTTCCAACCGGCAACAAACAGTATATATGAGTTGAAGTTGTTCCTGAATATGGTTTTTGCTTTTCCCTGAACAGGAAATTGCTTGTTCGTCTTTTTGACAAAGTTGAAAGGGGGAAATTGAGAGAAGGTAGACCTCTTGCGACGCGTGTCATCGAATTGCACAAGAAACGGTTCGTATGTCCCCATTTCTATTTCGAAGTAATAATGCAAACGAGCGAAGGAGCTTGCTGTTGTGCCTAAAATTTGGATTGTGTTTACCAAAAGTTGGTTCTTTTTTCTTATGGTGGGGTTGGACAGGCAAGGATCCCCGAGGAAGAGGAAAGGACCCATCTCAGGAACTAAAGGCATGGATAGGTTTCGTTCGGAAGAATCATTCTACGTGAATCCATTACCAGACTGTTTGTGTCAGAGACAATCATCATTGAGCACAGGCACCTCTTCTGCAATTAGGTAGACTGACTGACTTCTAAACCCTAGTGGACTCTTAATTTTGTTTCTCAAGACAGACAGCAGACATCCCTGTACAGCCAAGCCAAACCAGGATATCTCCCTTCAAAGTTGAAGACGAGCAGCAACCAGAGGGAGGGAGGGCAGAAGCTGGTTGTGGGTTCCCGGGGATACGTGATGTACATATTATATCTGTGAGTTGTGAAATCTGCAGAAGTTTCTTCATTGTTTAGATTTCTTTTTGGGAGTGGGGAGGAGAATTTGGAATATATAGGATTAATATCTGTTACAAGGGGAGGCAATTTTACTCTGGTAAACAAGGTCTGAAAGTTTGAGAGAGGAAGATTGGGCAGGATCACCCTCTTAGTTAAGTGGAAGTATTAGTAGAAACTAGAAATCAAATTCTTTTAGTTAATGGGGAGAGAGATACTTCTATATGTTTTTGGTTTTGTTAGAAATGAAAAAAAAAGTTCGTTTGTTGTTTGGTTGATCTCCATCCGTGCTTCAGTGAACTATTTTGGGGTTCTTTTTTATTGTCAATGGGCATAAAAGTTGGTTGCTTAATCTTCACTGAGGATCAAGAAAATGGTATTAAAACAAGGTCGTACAACTTGTTCATATACTAATAGCATCTGTGTCAATACACCTCACATTCATTTCATTCACCTACATCAATGCAATTAACTTGCAATTGCAAATGTAACTAAATATTATGTTTAAATTATATAAAATTAAGTAAAAGAGAAAAGAAAATAATATAAAATAAAAAAATCCCCATTTTTTAGGCTTTTTTTATTTGCATATGGAATTTCATTTGTTGCAAGCTTGTTGGCTTTTTCAATTGTAACAAAGATCTAATTGGATATCTTTTCTCCTTATGCTTATTCAATTTTTTCCCTAACAACCTTGAAACTGTCGAGCGACAACGACAATTTCACTAGTTTTGATTCTACCTACTGCAACTACAAGTGCAAAAAGAGTATTTTCAGCTTTGAGTTATAAGAAGAACAAGTTTTCAAGTCGAATTGACGATCAATTTGATAATGTTTGTTTAGTAGGATACATTAAAAGAGACTTACTTAATAGTGTAACCAACGAATACTTTTACCATCGTGGTTGTATATGAAAACAATAATTGTATTAATCGGTTATTTTTTATCTATAAATAAGTTATTTAGATATAATTAATTTTAATTATTATTATATTATAAAAAGAGGATAGCGGTAGTTTCAAACCTGCGATAGGCTGACATCACAACACTTCTAGTGTTGTTACGGTACCAACAGGACAGAAAGGTAAATTAACATTAAAATTACCAAATTGAAAAACCTAATTTTCTCCGTCCCATCCCATTCAGATCTCTGTGGATCTTCTTCCTTTCATCCATCGACGAATCTGATGGAAGGCTCCCTAAAACATATGCGGCAGCTGTGCGCCGGGAGAGCATCTCCGACGGCTTGCCTTCCGACCACCGCGCAGTGGTGACGCTTCTCCTTCTTCCTCCGTCGCCTCTGCTTCTTCACCACACACAAATACGAAATCATCATTGTCATCAGCTCCATCGTCCGTCGTCCAGCCTGGAGCAAGAGTCAGCTGTTTCGCTGATCGTCAGATTTTCGGCGGGATAGGTTGTAGGATCTTCAACGGGGAAGAAGTAAGATGGGCTGACTCCATGAATTCTCCTTCTTCAACCTCGGATGCAGAGTGTTTTTGCGCCAATCTCCCTCTGTCATCGCTACCCTTCAGCTCCTAAATCGGCTCTCTCCTCTCGCTGGCGGCTTCCGATTTTTCTTCGCAACCCATCAGAAAATGGAAGAAGCAAGTAGAAATCCGAACGTACAGAATAATGGATGGGGATTTCGTCCGTCACTGTTTTACAGATTTTTATCGTGGGGATATGTAATATTTTGGCATCGGGGATCGATCAGTTGGTTGGTCCCATATGTCGGTTTTCCTTCTTCTTCTTTTTTCACCCGTTGAAGTGAAGCAAAACGTTGTTTTGTAAAGTAACTAAGCTGGGGATTGTGTGTGGAATCTGTAGGTGAGATTGAGTAGGGTGGCTCTTGTTGTTGCTGCTGCTTGCTACCTAGGGATGGCAATCAAACCATGGCCGCGGGTATCCGACCGCCCCCGATCCAGTCAACGCGGGGAATTCCCGCTTTGACTGGGTATGGGGCGGGTATGGGTAAAACCCGCAAAAAGTTTGATGGGTATGGGGCGGGTATGGTTTTAGCCTCCCCCGCCCCATACCCATCCCCATACCCCCGCCCCACCAAGATAAATGTCTTCATATATAAAAAAAAAATATGTGCGTCAAATTATTATCTATCAATGATGATGAAGATAACTTGAGAAAATAAAAAGTAGAAATGCAATTGAGTGACCACCTTAATCACAACCTAATTCATTTCTCTCAATTCTCATTTCACTTTTTCACTTCCCCTTGTCAACAAGATTATGTTAGTTAATTATTATTTAGTAGACGTATCAGAGTTAGAACATAATAATTTGAAAAATATTATACTCTATATTATGTATTAATGGATATTTTAGGATCATATTCTTTGAACCATATTAAAAAAATGACCGTATTTTGTTGACTTCATGATATAATATGTTCGTTTAGAGTTATAATTAAAACTTTTCTTGTAAATTTTAGGTATAATAATGTTGGATGTACGGGTATGGGTATTACCCATGGGTACCCGAAACCCACGGATATGGTGATGGGTTTGCAAAACATTCCCCTGCATGTGTATGGGGCGGGTATGGATTTGGGTATTTGAAGATGGGTATGGAGATGGTTTAGGCAAACCCGCCACAAACCCGCCCCATTGCCATCCCTATTGCTACCTGGTTTATTTTTGGTTTTCGTTCCTTATTTGTTGGGTTTCCTTGTCTAACTGTATCTCTTTCACTGGATTCTTTTAAGCTTTACTTTTACAGATTCTTGGCTCCACTGTTTTCTTGTACCAAACTCGAATTGCTATTCTCTTGACAATTCTAGTCGCCTTGTGGACTTTGTATCATTAGTTTCCAATGCTTGATATGTCCTCTGAATGACTGAATATATACAGGTCATCCAAGGTTGGGACCTCTTGTTTTTTGTGTCATCAAACTTGCGTATTAAGGCTGCCTCTAGTAGTGAATAATCCCATAAAAAGCACACCAGAACCTTCTAATGCAAACTACAAATACGATAAAGCAAACCTCAAAAACAAACCAGAAACGTCATAATGCAGACCAAAAATATATTAAAACAAACCAGAAATCTCACAAAGCAAACCACAGAATTTTCAAAAACACATAAGAAACCTCATAATGCAACCACAAACACGGTAAAGCAAATCACAATAAAGCAAACAAAAAACGTACTAATGCAGACCACAAATATATTAAAACAAACCAGAAACCTCGCAAAGCAAACCACAAAAGTTTCGAAAGCACACCAAAAACTTCTTAATACAAACCAGAAACCTATTAATACAAACCACAAGTCTCCTAAAACATGCTAGAAACCCCGCAAAGCAAACCACAAAATATGTCATAAGCACACCAGAAACCTCCTAATGCAAACCACAAACACAAAAAATCAAACCACAAAAAAGCAAACCATAAACGTCCTAATGCGAAACACAAATATATTAAAACAAACCAGAAACCTCACAATGCAAACCACAAAGTTTTTTAAAGCAAACCAGAAACTTCTCAATGCAAACCACAAACACGATAAAGCAAACCAGAAACTTCTTAATGCAAACCACAAACACGATAAAGCAAACCACAAAAGGCATACAAAAATATGAGAAACCAAACCATAAATCTCACAATGCAGACCATAACATCCGGTGGTCGTTGGCCGTTGACCGGTCAACGAAGGTCGTTGACCAAACTCCGATGACCGTCAGTGAGTAGATTCCGGCGCCGATAGGCATATTCCGGCCCCGATGACTAGATTCCGACGCCGGTAAGCATATTGCGACCACGATGAGCATATTCCGGCGACGGTGGCATATTCCGATGACAAAATAGCATATTCCGGCGACAAAAAAGCATATTCCGGTGACCGGCGACCAGATTCCGGCGACCAAAATTTTGGGCAGAAAAATAAAAAATATATTTTTTAATTTTTAATTTTTAATTTTTTTGATTTTTTAATTATTATTTAAATATATTTTTCATAATGACGATTATACCCCTGCTTTGATTTTACACTAGGTCAACTCATCTAATAAAAAGTCATCACAATCCTAACTTCCTATTGATTGGAGACTAGTGTTGTTACAATAACAACACAATAAGCGTTGTTACCGTAACTGGTCCCTTCAAACCTTGCCTCCGCCACTGACCTTAGCACAACGCCAGCACCTTTTCCAATCAAGCCGAACTAATTATAAATACCATGCACTCCATAAAGAAAAGGTTGTTGGAAATTTGGTTGAACCGGACTAACCAAGTCAAACCGGTTTTGGGTTGGACCGACCAACCGGTTTGGTATTAGACCGACCGAACCGATATTCTAATTCCGTGAAGGGACACATCCCTTTGGCCTAGTGGCGGTTGCATTATTTTATGGATAAGGATAACCTTATGGATAGAGGCAACCCTTCATATGGATAAGGATAACCTTTCATATGGATAGAGGCAACCTTTCATATGGATAAAGGCAACCTTTCATATGGATAAAGGCAACCTTTCATGAAACAATGCATGGATTCGGCCCCTATAAATATGTGTGGGGTGGATGATGCCACACACCATCAAACATATTCTTCTTCTTTCTTCCAAAAATTTCTAAGTATGCTTTAGTGTTCTTGAGCCTAAACCTAAAGTGGTGATAGTTTTATCCTCGGGAGAAATTTCCTGTAACCCTAGGCTTGTTGAGGGTGGAAATATTCTTTTCGGAAAGTGAACGTTGTTCACGACTCGAACATAATCTTAGTCACCCGGTCTCGGGCTATCGTACGTTTACCCTCGTCCCTAAAAATCCCAACAATCGTAAAGAATATTTTCCGGTACGATGGCTCGAACCGCTCTTTACAAGAAACCGGTTCCGGTCTATGGAATTATGAGAATTTTCGATGATGGGTATTTCATCGATGGCAGTAGAAGATGGGTGTTCTTCGTACTAGTCTCATGGTGTATTCCATATCCGGAAGGTAACTTGGAAGAGGGATGATTCGAAGATGAGGAAGAAGGAGAATGATTCGTAAAATGGAGAAATAGAAGAATGAAAATTGCCTTTGGGTAGGTCACATACTCAATGGTTAATTAGTCTAATTCTCTATTCGACATTTACGAAGTTCTAGATAAACTTGGATTTGTCTAGTGGTTTGGTGGTGTGATTTTGTGGTTTATGTTATTTTAAACCAAGGAGACAAAATTGTATATACAATGTTTGATGATTCTGGTAATAGAGTCGTTGTGTTTGTATATAGATGACATATTTATCTCTGGGACCAATCAAAGATAAGTGATCTTGTCAAGGGGTTTATGTTATTTTAAACCATGGTGACAAAATGTGTACACAATTTATGATG